CCCCAAAACCCCAAAACCCCAAAACCCCGAGAGGGAGAGGGGTTATTGAGAGGGAGAGGGGTTGTTTTAGTTCAGAGAGGTGGGTTTTGGGGGGAAGTGATGAGCGTGTTTTGAAATTTGGGATGTGGCTGAGTTTGAAATCTTATATGTTGGGTTTAAGGGATGGTCTTATTCAGAAGTTGTTGAGGTAATTATTTGCATAGTGTCTTGGAATGTGTTATTATTGAGGTTTGGTTCGACTTCTTTCCTCATTCATAAATATTTGTTTCATGTCATCTTGCTTATTGTTTGCCCATCAATACCTATCATCAAAATCAGAGGATATCGAAAGGGATGATTTTCCTTCAATATTATATCTGAAGTATAAGCATTTTCTTTTTGTGTTCGAAAATCCTCATAAATTACTTCTGGTAATTATGTTAACTATTTAAGATAATTTCTTACTTGACTTTTATTAATTCCTACCATTATTCTGCTCCCTTATGCTGGAACATATAATTAACGATGATAGAGGTGGTTGTGCCGGTGATATAGTCTTGCATCTTTTTTAATATAGAATTATTTATATTTCTGATCCATGACCTCTCGTTGGCCTTGCTGAGGAGAAGCCATCGACAACAAGACCCCCGAGGGTCCATTAATTTATAAATAGCTCTAGAAGCATTCATATTAAACACTCAAATAAATTTCTTCTTTTCTCAAAAAATTTCATTGAGGACTCATTTCTCTTTCACCGTGTACCGTCTTTTCATTTTTATTTACAATCAAAATATTGTCTAAATTCCCTAACTCTATCTTTAGATGCTTGATGCTATGATGAATGAATGAGAGCATCCTTCTCTGTTTCAGATTTACTTGCTTCTCAAAGCCAAGACCCTGCTTCAAATCTGTCATTGAAATTCTATTTAGACTATCTATAGAAAAACAAGGATATATTGCTTTTGTGTTCTATTAGTCTTAGATTGTGTAAGAATCTCATCTCCATTGTGATCAGTACTGGCCTAATTTGAAGCAGAAGGAACATTGGTTTGCTATAGACCGTCTCTTCCATTAGCCCTGTCTTTCGATTTATAACCTGAGGCTGGAATGAATTTTAATAAGCTTTAAAATTTTACTTAGGACTAAACCTGTATCTCTAGAGTGATTTTCAATTCATACTTAGTTATTTCTAAAAAAATTATCTCCTTTACATTGCAGTGAAGAGCAGATAAAGATTTTAAAGCTTGATTTTTATAGCATATTATATACCAGAAGTAAAACATTACTCTAAAGCCAATGAATTTTAATAAAATCTTAACTCACAAATGATGATCTGTGTTAAAGAACAAAATAAGATGGGAGTTTTAATTATAAAGAATTCAGGTATATCTTTCCCATGCTGGAAGCAAACTCTGGTTTCACCATGAATATCATCGAGAATAGATTCTTAAGTGCATTGATGCATTACAGTAGAGTACATATCTTACAATCATTACGATGATCAATGGTAAGCTGATTTGATAGGTGACAATCTGGTGTTTTACCAATATTATGATTTCTCCCACTACGGATTTATTGTTGGCAATACACAACTCTACCTCTCTGATCTAGTTGATGTATTTACCGAATATGCAGAACAAAGAAACAGTTAAATACTGAAGGCACCAAAATATGGACATTTTTGATCTTTTATATTTAATTTCAGATCATCCTGCATTCAGAGGGGTTTTGGGGTTTTGGGGTTTTGGGG